AAAAGTGCAAGAATTTAAGAGGGGGGGTGGGGGTGGGGGGTCTTGAACCAATGTAATATATTACACTTTTCGGAGGTGAAAAAATAACAAGGAAAAAAAAGGGGCCTTGGTCAAGAAAGGCTACATAGGTCAAAGAGTGTGCAGAGGCCACCAAGGATGTGGACAATATTTTCAAAATACATGTATTACAACATTGAAGAGGCAGGACTTTACACTGAACGGGGGAAGAAATGGAGGTGGAGGAAGAAGAGAAAAGAAGAGGAGAAAGAGCAGGAACAGGACCAAGATTTCGAAGACAGCTCAGCAGATGCCCCTGTTTAAAAAAATATATTTTTGACATAATAATGAGCACTGTCTTTGTTGATGACGGGTAATTTCATTTTTTGGGGGGTTATATTAAGAATACTGATCAGTAATATTAGTAATAATTACACATAGGCCTACAATGGAATCATGATAAAGTCAACTTGCTTAAAGTCAACTCTTGCTAGTCAACACCTCACTGTGGTCCTGTTTCTTTCCTTCTTTGTTCAACTAATTGTATTTCAGATACAGTCATGATCGAACCGCTTGAGTGTAATCATCATCATCGTCCGGTGCCTTGCCGATTGGCGCGGGCGATCATGGACCTCACTTCACTAATTATATATTATGGAGTTCTCATGAAGGTCCTTGGATCTAGCTATAATCTCAAGCCACACTCTTCAGTGGACCCCCATCTCGCTGCGGAGTTCTGTTCCTTTTGCGGGTGGTTTCACGTTCTCATGGTGTTTCCCACAACATTGTTTGACTTCTTTCTGTAACAAAAACAACGATGACAAAAACTAAAAAAAAAACAACAACAAACACAAAAACAACAACAAACAATAAGGCGTAATATTTGTCGGCCTTGTGATGATGATGATGATGATGATGATGATGATGATGATGATGATGATGATGATGATGATGATGATGATGACAAAAAGGGCGGTGGCGATAACACGCATCAATTCAGAAATATATAGAATTACGAATGGAAAAAGCTAAGTGCATCCTTCGAAGACCCCAAGCAAGGGGTTGGGACAGCCTGTGGCATTCGTAAAGAGACAACGTTGAAAGTTTACACAGTGCAGTCGTGATCCTCCTAACCCTGTTTTTGTAGGGTTCCGACTGGATAGAGTACCACCAAAATCATGCCTTGAAGTTAAATCATTTAAACAGAAAATGACTAGGGAAAATCCGTGACATCAAGTGGCTAGACATTAACTTAGGGGCGGTTCAAACACATGTATAATCTGAAACCTGGAAGGAGGGGAGGAGGGTCTTTGGCTCCGGTGAGAAAAGTCCACGAAATTAAGAGGGGATTGGGGGGGGGGGGGGGGTCTTGAACCAATGTAATATATTACACTTTTGTGAGGTGAAAAAATAACAAGGAAAAAAGTGGTCTTGGTCAAGAAAGGCTACATATGTCAAAGAGTGTGCAGAGACCACCAAGGATGTGGACAATATTTTCAAAATACATGTATTACAACATTGAAGAGGCAGGACTTTACACTGAACGGGGGAAGAAATGGAGGTGGAGGAAGAAGAGAAAAGAAGAGGAGAAAGAGCAGGAACAGGACCAAGATTTCGAAGACAGCTCAGCAGATGCCCCTGTTTTAAAAAAAATATTTTTGACATAATAATGAGCACTGTCTTTGTTGATGACAGGTAATTTCATTTTTTGGGGGTTATATTAAGAATACTGATCAGTAATATTAGTAATAATTACACATAGGCCTACAATGGAATCATGATAAAGTCAACTTGCTTAAAGTCAACTCTTGCTAGTCAACACCTCACTGTGGTCCTGTTTCTTTCCTTCTTTGTTTAACTAATTGTATTTCAGATACAGTCATGATCGAACCGCTTCAGTGTAATCATCATCATCGTCCGGTGCCTTGCCGATTGGCGCGGGCGATCATGGACCTCACTTCACTCTGTCTTGCGCTGCAGCAATGGTGTCTGTTGTTCTTGCTGCTCCTAGCCATGTTGTCTTCTTGTCCAGTATCTTTTCCCTCTGTCTGCCTCTGCCTCTCTTTCCATCAACCTTGCCTGTTGTTACAATATTCTCTAATGCTTCTTTCCGCATTGTGTGTCCGAAGAAATTTGCCTGTCGCTTTCTTATATATTCGTCTTAAGTTGTCTTCTATAATTTGCTTCAACCAAGACTTCTTCATTTGTTTTTCTAGCTCTCCATGGGATACGTAGCATGCGTCTTATGAACCACAACTCTGTCGCCACCATTGTTCTTTCCAGCTGTTTATTGATTGTCCACGCTTCGCACCCGTATAACGGGATTGGCTCAATGTAACTTTTCAGTACTCTTTTTCTCGTTTCCAGTGATAGATTGGTGTTTGTTAGTATCTGTTTCATCTTATGGAAGGTTGCTTTTGCTTGACAAATGCGGCTTTTAATTTCGTAGTGACATTTACCATCTGATGATATAATGGTCCCCAAATATTTAAAATGTTGTACT